TCCCGCCGGTTCTCAGAGTCCCTGTTGTCTTCCGACTGCGCGCCGGCCCCGAACGGGAACTCGAAGCTGTCATCGAAGATCCCGACGGCAAACTGGCCGTAGCCCTGCGGCAAGGTGAACAAGTGCTGATCCACGTTCTGGGAGGGGGAGAATCCAGAGAACAGACTGTCAGAGAGAGGAACAGCTCTTGGCTTCACGCCTGGCGTCTCACCAGCCCTCCGACAGAGCCGTCCCTTCGGTGCCCAGCAGCTCAGGAGCCTGGGGGACCCAGGTGGAGCAGCGCACGCTCAGAAGCAGCTCAGTGAGGAACAGACAGACCGAAACGACATACGAAGGGAAGAAGTCACTACAGCTTCCCTCGTTTCTCTTTAGCGGCTGCACGGAACCGCTGCCTTTTCAGCTGAGGCTACTGCACAGCAACTCACCCCGACAGCTCGCAGACCCCAGCTCAGCCCCCCCCCAGCAGGAACAAGCCACCAGTGATGGTCCTATTAAAAACACGCAGCAAGAACACGACATGGGGAGATTTCAGGAGCAGCGCGTGGCTGATGTTAACACCTCCTTTCCCAAACTTTGTCATCACCCGGGGAACACTGAAACAACGTACTGGTGGAGAAATACTTCAACTCAACGGCAAAGCAGAAGGCGTTGGGAGAGACAGAGGGGACTCGCTCACCTCAAAAGGATGCCTGCTCTGGTCACTGCCTGACGTGGAGGAGCTGGTCTCATTGTCAGCGTTCCTGCGAAGGACCAAGAGCACCGGTAAGCCTCGGAAGGGGGCTCCGAAAAGACCTTCCCAGCAGAGGGGAGCGAGGGACTCGAGTCTGACAGGAAAGGCAGACACGGCGGCGGCTCGGTAGCAGCACGCAGGCGGTGACCGGATCTCTGCCGCGCAGAGCCAGCGCCCGAAGGGCCCGCAGGGGTCTGTGGCCTTCCCCGCCGCCCCAGGGCAGGGTCAGCTCCGCACAGAAAGCAGTCTGCCCTCAGCTGCCGATTTTCTAATTGTCCATTATCAATTCTCATTTTTGCCTCCCTGCAGCCTTTGTTTTCCCACACCTTCACCCTCCCTCCCTCCCCTGGCAGATTCTGATGTCATGAAGCTACAGAGAAGTGACAGAACCATGATGTCAAGCAAGGATTCCCTGCACAGCCCACCTCAAACGAATCAGCGAACCCTCTGGAGCACCAGCAAGAGAAGACTTAAGGTACAGACCTGTCACTAGGACCCAAACACGCTTAAGTCTAATCCTGAATCAAAGGAACTTCGCTATTGCAGAGGCACGTGACCAAACAGGACAGATTATTGGGAAAACTCTTAACGCTCTCAGGCCTCTGCTCTCAGAGAGCTGCAGGAACGTTTACTGCTCCGTCCCCAGGCCCACGCTTTGAGGTTCACGGGACTGAAAAGCCGAAGGTTCAGCGATTGCGCGACTCTGCCAAGGTCCCGGCAAATCACCAACAAGGTTCGGATCAGCCAGGACAGATTTTCAGCCTCTACGGTTGGCGGGGTCAGACCAAACGCCACCTCGTCAGCACAGAAACCTCACCCTGTAAAGGCCGCCCCCCTC